GGTTTTATTTTAATAAAATTTTGTATAAGTACTTAATGAAGCATAATAAGTAAATGATAAAAATTTCAAAATGATTGCACTGCTTTAAAGCCCTTTGACCTTTAATAATGTGTGGATGCACCCTGATGTGCTACGCATTCTCCAACGCGCCTAGGCATGCTTCTGATCAGGTGGTCAATGTCCTCTTGTGGTATCTCATTCCAGGCAACCACCAACTCCTCTCGAAGTGCTTCTAGAGTCTGAGGAGGATGTTGCAAATTGAGCAATCTGCTACCCATCATATCCCACATGTGCTCAATTGGGGATAAGTCGGGAGATCTTGCTGGCCATGGTAACAATGTGACATCATTATGTTGAAAGAAGTCTATTGTGACTCTTGCAACATGTGGTCGGGCATTATCTTGTTGGAAAGTTGGATCTGCCAGGGTGTCAAGATAGGGTAAAAGATGGGGTTCTAAAACTTCGTGGATATAACGCTTCGCGTTCATGTTACCTCTGATGAAGATTAAAGGTAACCTGGAACCATAAGCTATAGCACCCCAAACCATAACTCCAACAGTATGATAAACATGTCTTTCAACAAAAAACTGTAGATTCCTACATTCACCACGTCGCCTTCTAACCCTGGCACGACCATCGTGCATGCCTAAACAAAATCGAGACTCGTCACTAAAGACAATACTGTTCCATTCCTGATCCCAGAGTGACCGTTGTCTGCACCACTCAAGGCGATTACGTCGGTGTTCTCGAGTTAAAGGGAGGACCCAGTGTGGCCGGTATGAAAACAAGCCAAAACTTCTCACTCGTCGGTAAACACTTCGCATGCCAATAGGTCTTCCGTGTTCTGCAAACCATTCATTTGCAATGGACCTGGTAGTGGAGAAACGGTCCCTTAAGGCCAATAATCTTAGGCGGCGATCTTCACGGTCTGTTGTTCTACGGCGGCGTCCAGTGCCCCTTGCTCTTTGCGTACGGCCTACACTTCTTTGCACTCTAACTGCAATTGCCCGAAAAGAAAGTCCAGCTTCCCGAAGTCCCACTATACGGCCTCTATCAAGCTCACTAAGTTGACGAAATCGTACAGGTCTCCGTACTCTAGGCATCGTAACCGATCGTAAAGGATGTCAAGAACCAAAATCCGCCAACGTTGATTCTTTACTGCGGCTGAAATATTCATTTTTAGAGCTTTAGTGAATTAAAAAAAAGCAGTATAAAAACCGGAATGTCCAACTGTTAAGGCTGAAATTTTTTCACTTGTTATTTACAGTAAGATAAATACATTCACCAACTTTTATTAAAATAAAACCATTTAAACTGGGTGTCCGGATTTATATGTCACTTAGTATACTTTTTGAATAGAACCTATTTAATTTTTCCGATATCGTGTAAGACAAATGGATCGTGGAAGAATCCAGAAAATCCTAAAGTCGTGTCTCAGGTTCATATTTGGCATCTGTAAGTTTGACAGGACAAGCTAAAGGAAATTACTTGACTCAATATGGTCTCCAATTATTCCATAAAATTGTCTCTACCAAAACGTCTCCATATTTATGGAATAGGATAACATTTAGATATAATGCCCATAATTCAAATATTCTCTGTACATCGAACACCTATATTGCTTCCAAAACGCAGTAGTGTACCTTGACGAACAAAAGCGTCCTACCGTTCATCCGGTTCCTATGGATGGCCGAGTTCTACCAAAGAGCGGTTCATCAAGGTCGAGTAACATAATAAAGTTATTAAATCAGTACCTTAAGTACGCATTTTTGCAAAATAATGGCGTTTGCATTTTTGAAAGTGAAAGCGGCTATTTTATGAAGCTGAAAATACATCTCCAGCAATTTCCGTTGGCTTTTTTTGTCTGGAAATTTTATAACGGAAGGCTACAACGAACTCGTTGAGGCTTAAGTAAGAGTCCAGAATACCCATATATTGAAACCATAGATTGTCTTAAGTAATAAATAGCATACATATGTTCATATTCATCATCTAAAAATTTTGATAGAAAATATTCCGTATTTATAGTGTGCAATTATACTGAATCACCAGACTGTTGGGTTACGTTGATTATTCATTATAAACGTTTCTCTCTCGAACATGTGTTGACCATACAATGTAATTTTGCTTGAAGGAAATGGTCAATGACAGTCACCAATATTCCAGAGGAGCTCATTCCAGAAAAATTAGTTTAAAAAATAAAAATATAAGGGAGTTCGGTATAAAATTTTCTTTCGCCTAAATTTTAGTTAGGAACAAAATATCGAGATGCGGTTTTAGTTAGCTTGTTTAGACATCATTTAGCTACTTTTTCATAAGAAAATCCTAGGCAGCAGCGGTGGCCGCAGTAGTAGGCTCTTCGGTCTCCTGATCAGTCGCCGTGCGTCTGTGCGGGTTCGAGTCCCGTCCCAGGAGAAATTTTTCTCTTGGCTATGGATGTTGTGATTGTCCGTAGGTGGTAGATGGTCTCTGACTGTCGAACGCGGAGGTACCACCCGGCGGTTCTCGTAGGCGGAGCCAGAATGTGTGCATGTTGCATGCACACGTGTTACCTCGCCAGAGTCCGTGTGGCGTCCCCCCTTTCCCATGTATCCCCCATAGCCCCACGGTACCCCATGGGTGCTTTTGCCTTAGGCCTTCGTGGTAGTTGGAATATAAAAAAAATACCAATGCAATCAATTTTTTTGAGAAAAATGATCATTTCTGTCGGAATGTTTAAAAAAGCACTCTAGTGGCCACATGTGAAACTAACAAAACTTCAAATATTATAACATTTGTAGTCCAATAGAATAGCGCAAGTCAGTTAAAATCGGCTCAGCTGTTTTGAAGATAGGGGTTGTTTTTTACGGAAACACTTTATTTTTAGGGATACAGCAAAAATTGTCAAACAAAAAAGGTTCACATTATCCTCGAATTTAAAGATATAGCGGAATTCACAGAAATATCACTTTTTTAGATCCAAGATTGCGGTTACGTCCGCTAGCTGCCATTTTAGAAACTTGAACTTATATTCCAGGTTTTTCTCTTGGCCGTTTCAGTAAGAAATTATTTTTGCCGCAAGCCTCTACGATGGATAGGTTCCCAGATACAGTACCTCGAATTCGTAGTTGACCCTATACATGTACTCCAAAATGCATTTTGGTTCAAAAAGGCCAACCTGACTTTCCTTTACTACGTCCCAATAGATCCAAGCTCTATATTCAACGCTTTTTGTTCCGTTTTGTTCAAGTTGTTGAAAAAGTGTACATAGAGCAACAAACTGCATCCCAAATCTTTAAATGTCACAGACGATAATCCATCATCCTAATAGTATTCTAAATCCAGCACACGTCCATTGTGCTCCGAAAATATAACCAGTCCGACCTCGATACAACTTCAGTATGCAGCACTTTCACTTTTATATAGACTCTTGCGGTGACAAGGCTGAGTTCGAGGCTGAGCAGCTGAAACATTGTAAGAGAGCTTTGATCCTGGAATGGTACGTTTCCATTCTGTTACGACACACGTTGCGCGCCTGAGTCAGTTTTGTCTCAAGCACACGTTAAAGCCTCAATTCCGGTATTCTCTTAATGTAACAAGTTATCAGGAAGGTAACACGCAACATACTATATATAATATGATGGTAGTTAAGCGGTAAATGTGTGGACAGCAAAAACGCCTTAGAAGATGTTGATGTACCACCCTGTACCATTTTGTTTTTATCACAAGGCGGTACGTGAGCAATTCGGTATGGGTCAGGATTATATTAAAGCCACTTGGTGACGGGACGACAACGAGTTATCCTCCTTTGGCAAGCGATATGGGCGATTAGAAAAATGATTTGATTATCTCTCATATTCAACTGACTCATGGCATGAAAGGCACACCGCTACTAGTTACCATTACATTAGCGTACCCAGACTGCTAGTAAGAACTCGTCACACAGACGGAATCATGAGATCGTCACACAGACTGTTCATTGAGTCATCACCCAAACAGAGTCAGAGTCGTCACACAGGCAAACTGTTTGGTCGCTAGGTGACCAGAGACAGGCATGCTGAGTTTAACGATTATTACGAAAAGCTGTCTAGGAGCCAAGATATCACGTGGGCGTGTCAATAGCCCAAAACTCCAACGTTACTCATGAACCAGAGGTAACCGAGCAACATGACTACTTTAAACTAACAATCCCTACACATCCTTCCATGGGATCTTTTTACACTCCAGCGATTGCCAAGAGAAGACATTTAAGTGGTCCTTCAGACCTAGGAAGTCACGTCGGCAAAAGCCATCGTGTCAACATCCCAAGCGCTGCGTCATTTCCCCTGACAGAGGAAACAGAGTAGTAATCAACATAACTACCTGAACCCAGCAATCGGGCTCCGAAAGTCCCATAACAACCTCCAGAAACTGGAGGCGTCCCACCTGCGGATATTCAATAGTAAGTTAAAATATGAAGGTAAAAAGCACAACATCTTTATAAGCTTGACTTAAGGTATCCATGATCATGAATATTATGGTTAAAAACCCATGCAGTATAGTAGAATAAAGAAAATACTCAGTGATTCATCACTTTTCAGGTAACCAAAACACCACAACAAATAGCACAGCAATACAGTAATTAGGTTCACAACGCGCACTACTTGATCTTAGATGCAACCGTTATACCCATTTGCATGTACATGACACCAGTGAAAGCTTACCCTGGGAAACAAGTGCCAGATGAGAAATGGAATGTATAAAATAAGCAGGCTTAAGGGCGGTCACGTTGAGTAACATTAACCAGACTTGTTGCTTACACATGTTGCTTTTTCCTGTACAAAACTGCCGCTACATGTTACAAGCTCAAATATCCGCGAAGCAAGTTACAGAGCATGTTGCGCATCGGAGCCTGGCGCACTTGTTGCAGACTGTTTCCATTCCACATATATCTTTAAGCAATTGTTTCACTCCAGGACTATGAGATTACTTGTCTTCAAGTGTGTTGTGAATGATTTTTTGACGTTCGTTTGTTGTTGCAGGGCCGATTTCATGTCAACTCCATTGAGATAGAAACAAAAGCATGGGAGTGGCAGAGGATTTCGCTCCCAGCTTCACGCAGAAGCCTCAATTGAGGCAAGAGGATGATGGCAACAAGCTGATATTTGAGTGTCAGCTTCTAGCTGCACCAAAACCGGAGATCCAATGGTTTAGGAGCGAGGAACAACTGTCCGAAGATGGAAGGACAAACTTTAGAATACAATCGATCGGTACCAACAAGTACTTGGTGGTACTGGAGCTGGACGATGTCGTCGAAACAGATGCGGGACTGTACAAGGTCAAAGCGAAGAATACCATGGGAGAGGTGGCAGCCTCTATCAATCTCAACTTCAGCCGTAAGTGTCTTCTTAAGGAGAATGTGAGGGTATTCCAAGAACTGAAATGAATCTCCAATAAAATTTGATCGTAATCTTTGGTGATTTTTTTGATTTACTTAGTACTGATTTTAAAAAAGTCAAAAAAGGTACTTTTTGCCTTGTTTTGGAAAATCTACCGCATTTTTTGAACTTGAGAAGGCTAATGTTGTTAGGTTTTCTTTATATATCAATGTATCCCTAATAACCCTGCACGACGGCAGATTCTACGGTTTCTCAGGCGCCAATTAGTCAGAATTTGCAAGAAATCAAAGGAGCAAAATTTTTGTGTCAAAACGACCTGTAATCTGATTGAACATGGAAAAATCATTTTTTTTTCTTCTTTTGCAGTCACTAGGGATATCTGAAACATCTTCAATTAAAACAAAGAAAAAATTTCAAGCTTTATTCCAGTTTTTGGAAATACCCTAACATTCTCTTGGTTTCTGAGATATCAGTGGTCGATGACAAAAAGATCCTTTTATATTCAAAGTCAGATATCTCGCAGCCAAATGATCATGTCGAGATTTTAAAAACATAATATTGAATGGCATATACATTCCATATAATGGGCTAATAGAAAAAAATCTTCAAGCCCGTGGACCAAAAAGACGGTAAAAATTTAACAAAAAGTTTTTCTTGCGCTATGCGAATATCAAGAGACATGCGAATATTTGAATATTTGTTACATCACTACTACTCATGCAATGTTTGATTATAAGATGTATTACTTACATTATCTGAAACTTTTGTTTGCCCGGTATTTTTGAAACAAAGCGATTTTTCAAAAAGCTGAACAAACAAAATAATGGTAGCATAAGCCAAAGAATTGACCTTTTGTCTCACGTATAAAGTGTTTGCTACATGTTTCTAATTCAATGTTTTTTTTTCAGCGATGGATGAGCCAAAAGAAAAGTGAGTAAACCATAACAATAACTCAAAATCGGAATTAATTCAATTTATTGACACCGTTGTTAAAATTATTCATAAAATAAAATCAAATTCAAGTGGTTCAGATGGAATAACTTTACGTATGATACTACTACGTATATCTGAAATTAATATGTACTTAACACATATAATCAACTGCTGTTTAGAAAGGGGAAATTTCCCAGATCAGTGGAATAGTTGTTCCGCTACCTAAGTGTTCTGATCCTACTAACTATGGCCAACTGAGACCGATCAGCTTGCTGCTTTTTGTCTCAAAAGTATTGGAACGCGTTGTTTACGAGCAGCTCTGCGCCTGCCTATATCCTAACAAAATTATTGCATCTAAACAATCTGGATTTCGTCATGGTCATAATACAGCTTCGACACTGTGATTTGACAGACAATATGACAATGGCATTTGATAATCAAAAAGCAGTAGCTCTCATACTTCTTGACTTTACCAAAGCATTTGATACAATCATTCACTTCTTGTGTTAAGTGCAGTTATTATGGATTTTCTGAAAAACATCTTTCGTTTATTCAAACCTACCTTGAAAATCGGTTTCGAAAGGTTCATCTAAATCAACAGTACTCTACCGCATAAAAAAATTATTCCTGTGTACCACAGGGATCTGTGTTAGGACCTCTGTTATTTTCATTATATATATATATATATATATATATATATATATATATATATATATCAGATTTGGAATGATGTAAAATCATGCAGCATACAATTTTTTTGCCGACGATACTCAGATTTTCTATTCATTTAGAAGTAATGACTTGGAAACAGCTAATAATAAAATTAATCAAGATTTTTCCCAAATTGAAAAGCTTAGTAGTAGTCATAATCTTCGTTTGAACGCTTTAAAGACAATTATGTTGGTATACGCAAATAAAACAGAAAGGAATGTTTTAAAAAAGGAAACATAAATTTAAAAGGTAATAAAGTGGATCATTCGAAGTACCTAGGTATTATAATAGATGACGACGAATTTGTTGAACATGTAAACCTTCTAGTTTCTCAGTGCTACGCTATTTGCAAATAAGGCTGTATTACATAAGTCTGCGAGAAAGCAATTGTGTGAATCTTTCTTGTTTTCAAAAATATCATATTGCTTAGTGGTTTACTATCCCTCTAGATATTAGAACAAGAAATCGTAGTTAACGATATGATCACATATCGAAGGCCGTTAAGGACCTCAAATGGATGAAAATTTAAAAAATGTATAAATGCCAGCTCCTAAGTCTGACTCAGGGTTTTTTATTCAAAAACACCGTCATATTCAGTAACCAAATTCATACCTAGAGGAAATATGCATGACTCTTAGTTATAGAGAGATTTTTCAATTTTACATCTCTATTCCAGAATACATATATTTAGAATGCAATTAAATTATATAACTCTTCAGATCCTGGTTTGAAAGAAACTAATTCATTACCAAAATTCAAGGTAAAAAAGTGAAAGAAATTCTACTTGGTCAGCAGCGAAATCTGTTCTAACTGACCCTATGTTTTCTTTATGCCTTTACATTCAATATACTTTATTTGGCCGTTATTGTACACAGGTATTAATTTTCAACAAATTTTTAGTTCATATGCATCTCATATTATTAAGGGGGTCAGGTGGTAGAATATAGGTAGTATCTAACTCTCGCCTCCTGTAATATAATTACAAATAAAAAAGACGTTAATTATTATTATTTGTTCACAAGTGTGAGCACTTTTTTGTCGAATTATCTTACTGATATAGTTTATTAATGACAATCTAGTACCACTTCGCGACTTTCAAGAATTGTGAAGTGGTTTTCCCTTTGCCGCGGCATTTTTCGCAACTACAATACTTCCCCGCTTATTTGGCATGGAAAATATTTGTATTTTCACCCAACAGCATCGAAATCAGCCAGTGTTATAAATAAAAATGATATCAGTGTATATCTCTGTAAGTCAACTCCCCCACAGTCATACACATGTTTGGATTTGGTTCAAAGTGGAAGTACTTATTGAAAAAGATTTTGCGCCAAGTTGTACACGACAATACAGTTTTCTACGGGTTATGACTTTCTGATGACTCAAAAAGTTTAGTCGAATTAACGATATTTTTATAGATCCAATAATATATCTGGCTATGAAATATACGAAAAATGCTTAAAATAGTTTTAAACAGATGTTTATATGTTTGTTAAGTCCCGCCAAAATTGTGACTTTTAAGATAGATACATATTAATAATAGGGCAGGATACACATTTATTTTTCTATAAATGTAATTTTGATATAAGAATCAACCTCTCCTCATTGTAAGGGCGCCTTATTTGGAAATGACAGACAAATTGTTGAATATGAAAGAAGGTTGTACCTGTGGTTATTAATTTATAATTTGACCATGACGGATACACTACTGCATTACTTAAGAAAATTATTAAAATAAGGAAGCCTTAAAGTTAATGACAGAGGCACTAAAAAGGCCTGAGATCGAACAAGACTTCGCAGTCCTCTTGAGAAAGGAATTCGACAACTCCGATGTGTCAATATTGGTCAAAGCAAATGACGTATCCGCACAGCAATTATGCTTCAAATAATGGAACGACGATGTATTCCACCTTAAACTTATTGTTAGTGCTTTTAGAACTGTATATCTTGGTACCGACCTTCAATAGATGCGAGTATTGCGTCACCGTAGCTCTTTTTGAGCTCAATAGAAGTTATTTGTGGCACCTCATTTCCAATATTAGCCCATTCAGTATTATGCAGTACTTTATACTATTGTTTACTATTTTCCACGGGTATCCATAATATTTTGACGTTCACTGAGGTAAATGGCAAGTGACATATTTAACCTTTGCTACCAGCTTTCTCGGTTACTCACACTTCATTCAATAATGAATGTTTATCGATAAATGTCAAGCGAAAATACTTTATCATCGTGTTTCATTTATGCATTTCTCTTTGTAGACAAAGAATAATGACAAGCGCCATGGTAGTTCCTTTTTTACATGTCTTATCTTGTCGTTATCCTTTATCTAATTGGTAGGGTTATTAGGTAAGAACTCTACATAATGTCAAAAATTTACATAATGCACTTTTCAAGTCAGCAAAAATTTGTTGTCCCTAAAGAGAATATATGTAAAGGGTGTATCGATAAGAACTGCAATATTTGAATTTAGCGCCATTTTGGTAGTCATAATGTCATAATGATCGTGATATGACAGATCGATAGTAGACAGGCGGGAGTTTATGAAAATGAATCATTACACAATAGAACAGCGTATCCCATTTGTTAAAAATTATTATCAAAGTAATTGCCACGATTCGAAAAGTACAGCTAATATTCGGTCAGAATAATGTTCCTACCCCATCCACTGTGAAAATAATAATCCAAAAATGTGAAAGAATGATGTGAAGCATACGAGACGAGCTCGCAGCGGTGGTTCGGAAGAAAATGTCATCGCGCTCAAGAATTGTACATTAAAACAGCCACTCTCCAGCGTGTTCTAACTAAAGATTTACACCTACATCCTACAAAGTCCAATCGACTGAATAGCTTATGGCAACAGACCATGCACAGCGAAGAGAGTTTAGAAATTGGATCATTGGCTAACAGTATGTGAATGGTGATTTTGTAGACAAAATCATTTTTAGCGATGAGGCCCATTTTCATCTCGCTGGCTTCGTCAATAGACAAAACTACCGCATTTGGGGCACAGAGAATCCAAGAGTAATTCATGAGAAAGCTATGCATCCAAAACGTGTCCCTGTTTGGTGTGCACTATGATCTGGAGGAATCATTGGACCGTTTTTCTTTGAGGTTATCGTGCAATGATTACTCAGTTTCTTGTGCTACAATTAGAAGTCATGGCTCTAATGACATACGGTTTCAGCAGGATGATGCCACATGCCATACTGCTTATGAAAAATTGGCAGTTTTGCACCAGATTGCTCCTGGTCGAGTCATCTCCCTGTTAGGTGTCCATAATTGGCCGCCACGCTCTTGCAACTTAACAACTTTGGACTTTTGGCTTTGGGGTTATCTGAAGTCAAAAGTTTATGCCCACAAGCCTGCAACCACCGAAGCATTGAAAGCTGAAATCAGACGCTGTATCAACGAGACACCACGACATGTGCTCAAAAATGTTACCGCAAATTTTATTAAAAGAGTGCGCATGTGCCAGCGGAGCCGTGGCAGCCATTTACCTGATGTGTTATTTCATACATAACTCCAAAGTGTATACACCATAATCCAATAAATATTTCAGTTGTTTGTTACGAAATACCATGTTTAATAGAACCTTGAAATATTGCATCCTTATTGAAACACCCTATATATATATATACAGTAAAAACCCACTTTCAGTTATCACGCGTGTTGCCTTGTTAAAATGTACCTATGTTAAAACTGGAGTTCCTTAGCTGTATTCATTCATTTTTAAGCAGTAGTTAATTCTAGTTCTATTATATCACCGATTAAGTGGAAGTGGTAGATCAGCGGATGCTGAACGTTTCGCTCTTTGGTTTAGGTTTGAGTTTAAGGCCCGTATCGTCAGTCGTTCCTACAACTGTAGGACGCCTTTATGGCATCCTTGATTGTCATAGTTTTCTACTTTTCCGTGTCATCGCTCTATTTTGAGGTTATGTCACAAATACCTATTTGCATCAAATTGTGCATGCTTTTGATTTATATCATGTTTTATCTGCCTGAAATTTCCTACAATTTAAAAAGAAAACATATCTTCACAATACGAGAGCGCTGACGCTGACACAGAACAGGTGCAATCTAGACATTTTTGAAGGAGAGAAAGGAGTATGACAATCAAGGAGGCCATAAAGGCGTCCTACAATTGTAAGATGCCTTTATGGCCCCCTTGATTTTCATAGTTTTCTACTGTTCCGTGTCAGTGTTTTATTTTGAGGTTATGTCACAAATATCTGTTTGCATCAAATTGTTCATGCTTTTGATTTATGTTATCAGTCTGAAATTCCCTACAATTCAAAAAAACTCAACTTCACAATAGAAGAGCGTTGACCCTGACGCGGAACAGTAGAAATCTAGAAATACACAGCCTTTCTGAAGGAGAGAAAATACTATGAAAATCGAGGAGACCATGGAGGCATCCTACAATTGTAGGAATGACTGACGATACGGCCTTTAGTTTGGGTATTGATTTGGGTTTTGGTTTGGGTTTGACCCATGTTAAAACCCAATGCAACAAACGCTCAAAATTATATATATATAGCACGGCAGAATTTCTGAAATGAAGTCTAACTAAACACGTTTTCTCTAGTTAGAATTAGTTTTAACTGACATTCATTATAAGCAGCAGGTAATTCTAGTTTTAGTAAAGACAGTCAAAACTAATTTCAAATGTGCAAAACGCGTTATAACTCGGAACGGGTTTTGGCTGTTACATATACAAAGTGCTGTACAATTCTGAACGGACTAACAATTGAAACTAGGCTCCATAGTAACTTCTATTTAGCTCAAAAACAGCTTACCCAATCACAATACACGCAGCTATTGCAGGTGGTTACCAGATTCAATACAATCTCTGGCATCATCCTTTGTCAATATTTAATGAAATTAAAATTATAGGCAAATAGATGGTCTAGCGCCGACATTTGCGAAAAAGCCTGCTATTCGTCAAGAGGAAGATGGAAAGAGGCTGCTATTCGAGTGTCGAATACAAGCTGATCCCCGACCCGTCGTTAGTTGGTTTCACAACAACAACCCTGTTTCAGAAGGTCCTCGTCATAAGGTAACATCTAATCAACAATACTTTCTAAAAAAAAAACAACTTGAAAGCTAGAAGAAATGGATGCTGTCGGGATTTGAACCTGCGCCTCTCTAATCCGTGACACATGTGTCTCAGACCAGTGCGAGATTTTTCAGATGAACGCATCCGTAAGAACAAATATAGGGTGCTATAGAATGCTGTAAGAAAATTCGAAGGGCACATTTTGAAATATGGAAAAAAGTTCATATAAACATAGATCCTGGGATGCTTTCTGTTCTTCTTTGATAGTTACCCTGACACTTTTCAAAAACACCAAATGAATCACCGAAGGCCACACTGAGTGAATTGAATGAATCAACTCAAATTGGTGGGGTTGGGAATCGTAGAAATATATTGCCGCCGAAAAATGACTTACACCCTTCCCCACCCCTACAACTCCAATCCCCGAATTTCAACCCCTACAAAGTTTTTTTTTAAAATGATCAGGAGCCTCTGAAGTGTTAGAAAACGTTTTTCGTGATATAACATCCAAAAACCATATCTCAGTTTCGAAATCTTTCGTCCACTGATGCAGGGAGTAAAAGTAATACGTTTCTGATTTTTGGAAATAATCAGTATCTTAAAGCCAAATTAACTCTATTTGAAAACTGTCTCTTGTAAATTTTCGTTCAGAAGCGCTTTACCAAAATAAATATTGATCTATTAACCATACATATCTGTTTCCAAGCAGAATCAGTGGCGTACAATTTATTGCTACATAGAAAAGTTTAAACGTATTATAGAAACCAAACATTTCGGGATCTATGTTTTTATGAAGTTTTTTCATAGTTTTACATGTTTAATTTGCCCTTAATTTTAAATAAGAACATTCTGTAACGCCTTGGTATTTTTGAGGCAGGGTGCGATAATTCTCAAATAACTAAGCGACACATTTTCGTAATTGAGCTTCTGGACAATTCTGATATTCTAAATTGTGCATTTGATTTCAGTTAAGGATAGAAAAAGACGGACATTCATATTTTGCAACCCTAGAGATAAAAAACGTCACAGTAGAGGATGCTGGTAAATACAAAGTGACGGCAAAGAATGATCTAGGAGAAAGCAATGCAACGATTAGCCTTAACTTTGACAGTAAGTTATTTGTGGTGTTCTGTGTCTTAGCTTATTGTGACCTGCCAGCAATAATACGCAATCTCTTTGGTTAACAAAAACAGCAGTGGCTTGGGTTTCGGCGATTTGAAAAATACCATACATAAAACTATATGCTGATTTCAATTGGTACAGTTTCCCCTTCTGATACTGTATGAATCTCCATTGGTCCTAGTCTATGTTTCCCACAGAGTTGGTGATCAGAGCCGACTTGGAAAGCCGAAAAACTAAAATTAAAATTAATTAATTAAAATATATAGATAGGACCTTTTTGTTGGCACTTCTCCGGCACTACATGATGGTGTTTTTAAATTTTGTTGATGAGGGTTTCTATAATGGAACCGTCGGGCCCAAAATTTAAAAACACCATCATATAGTGCCTAAAAAGTGTAAATGAAAAGTTCCATTAACTTTTTTGTATTCCTTAAAATAAAGTAAGAAAAAAATAAAAATGATTTGGCAAAATTTTAGTTTTTCCCGAGCCATGAAATTTTCACAAGTTTCTCAACGGCTTTTAAATACGCCTCAAAGAATTTACCCTGAGGTGTATCTCCTACAGGTATTGAGGTCGCTATGCATAGGATCCTTATCTTGGACACCTTGTATATGGAGTTGATTTCTGCTCATTGAGAATAATTCTGCTGCCGTTTTCCGGCATGGTCCCAAAATAAATTCTTCTTCATGCCTGGATCCAGACATATAATGATGAAGTACCTACGCCACTGTTTTACAGCAAAATAACCACGTTGCAGCAGGTAACCCCATGATCGCATAAGCTGAAGTCAACTAAAATGAATCCAGAACTTTGTATACGTCAAGCTCAAATATGGATATAGTAAAAATGCATATAGAGACGTACAGCTTTTTTATGAAAAACTAAGACTTGAATAATATTTTCTAACTGGCTTGAAAGTGAGTTGATTTATTTGCTAAATCAAATAAAGACAGCTAATGAAATCACTGAATGCTTCGCGAATTTTTTCGGTATTCTGCAACTTTACCATCGAGCGAAGATCGACTAATTGATTGACCAGTTATTTGGTTCACGTGTCTATAGACGGGTACCTAAATCGAAGAGTGTAGCATCTAAGTAGCTGCCTTTGTAGATTATTCCATTTTTGGTACCAGACTATACCACGTGAAATGGAAGACCTTCATCCGAAGTCGTAAGCTTTGGATTTGCAGAATAGCAACTTTTGTCTTATTTACTGAGCTTACAGATACCGTAGTTGAATATAGGATAGTCCATTTATGATGAGCTTGAACATAGACGTATAGGAATACTCTATCATTTTTCCGATTTCAAATATCTGAGGAACGCCTACTCTACGATTCCACAGTTTTATACTCCACTGAAATCGATGCAGAAGCTTCCGAGACTAAGCGATGACAAGAACGCAAACGAACACGCCAATAGAAACATATCTCACTTTAGAAACTATTTATAGTGTATGCCTGAATAAGTGGTCAATTTCTCGAATCATTTGCAACTCTATAAAACAACGTGACAGGTTCCTAAGTTAGGGATTCTTTCTAATCTGAGCAGCGGTTAGTTGACTTCAGCCATGGATCGCGTGCATTTGAGGCAAAGCAATAACTGAGGGAGAACAACGTTTTCAATGCATTCCCTAAACCCTGCAACACTTAGTCGCAAAGCAACACTTAGTCCTATCGAAATAAAGGTAATACCTGCCATCTAGCCTGTCAATGTGTAGAAATAGAGCAGGTGTTATTGAACAAGTAAGTCAGCACTCGTGCACTGTACAATGGACTAACCGACGCTTCCAGCTCAGCTTTTAATTTGCAGTTATTTAACAAATCATTTTCTAATAAGTGTATATTAAAAGCCAATGAGTAAAAGTGACGTCTTTTTTCTAAGCGTGATCATCAACCAAACATTGAATTACTTTTCCTAGACGACACAACAAACGACATGCACAAACTCAGTCAGCCGGAATCGGAAGTTGCGGGTACTACAAACGTGTTTCATTCCTTTTTTTACCATTTTAAATTGAAGTACAAAGTATTATAGGTACATTTTTCGACCTGTTTTATTTAACATTTCCTTGATTTCATCTTGTATCTACTCAAATCAATAAAAAAAGTTGCCTGACCCTGGACTCGAACGCGCAACAAACAGATTGTAAGCTAAACGCTCTATTAACAATGTATTATAAATTGCGACCTCAATTACTTTATTCGGACTAAGTTTGAAGGTATGCATCTCAAAACCAGTTTCGATTGTTATAATAATAATAATAATAATAAAGTAATACACCAGCTCTGCGAGTGCTATGCTACCACTCCTACGGTATAGATGAAACACCTGTGTTGCCCTGTGCTCCAGGGGATATTGAGACATGCCGTTCCTCAAGGTCGAGCTGGTGCAGGCGAATGAGCCGGACATAGTCCTTCTCGACCACGAACGGAAGACGATGTTCGTTATTGAATCTTCGGCTCCGACCGAAGTGAACATCGTCTCAGAGGAGAAAAACGGACCAAATATCAGGAGCTCCTCAATCAGCTTCGCAGGCTCTGGCGAGACCACACTGTCATCTGATAAATATGGTCATTGGATTCTTGGGTGGGATGCGGTCATCCTCGGTTCCCTCCGTCTACTTATACCCTCTCCAGACTCACGCGCGGATTACGGCGTGAAATCGCGGTGCGAATCCCAAAAATTGTTGCTACAGTTCCACACTCGCAGATGTTCGCGCCTGTTTCACAGTATAGTTCGCGCTCTTGACGAGTATGTACGGTGAAATTGCTACTACTGCTGCAGGGCTACTTTGCGCTTTGGCAATTTATAATTACGCATATATAAGTAAAACTAAAACAATTGAAAAGAAGTGGAAAAAACACAACCACTCCCGGCACTCGCTATGAGCCTAGTCCTGTTCGCGATATGTTCGCGCCTTGCGAACCCTTTGTCGCGGGACAAAAACCGACTACAAACGGGAACAATGCGCGAACGCAACGTGAAGCCGCGAAGAATACGCGAATGGGTCGCGGGCAGTCCGCAGCTCTGGAGGGGGCATTAGGGCACACGATTTGCGGACCAACTAGTTGCTTACTTTACGGTGAGGGGAGTAGTTAGTTGTTAATGGAACAGCAACTTGGTGTGCCGGAGCCCATTTATAATAATAAAACGTCTTTCTTGGGCGAAGTTTAGGATAAGCTACTCTACTACGTAAAAAGTCAATACACAAAATAAACAATTAAAGTAACGTATACCACTGAAAATGCAGAATTTTCAACTTACAAACAAATCAATTGAGTAAAATACACTACTGAATTGGATAAAGGGAGAACGTATAACATTATTGATAAATACAGAATGACACACATCTGTGTATAAGAAGAATTGAAACATACATTTGTGTTAATGATTGTTAAAAAACGAGTTTTTTTAAATACTTTTTGAAATTCTCGAAATTTAGGGGGTAAAGCATTGAACACAATAGTATCATAATAGGTAAAACATTCAGCAAAAATTGAGGTTCTGTGAGGAGGCACTGTTATCGTATCAACAAAGCGAATATCTCGTGAGTGTATAGAACCACAAAAAATGTATCTTATCTTTGAAAAATGGGAGAATCGAGATGTCTAAAAGCTTATGAATACAGTAAATAAAATTTGATTAGATTAGGAATATTTAACCATTCCAATTGTATGAACGAGGCGGTAAGGTGGTCATATATTTTCAAGTTACAGATTAATCTGCAAGATGAATTTTGAATTTTTTGCAAGCACTTGACGGATATTGAATCTAAAAACGGATGATAAACAATGTCGCAGTATGTAATTTTTGAAATAACCAGTGACTCAGATACTTTTTTAGTATTGTAATCGAGACTTTGTTTGTTCAAGTATAATTGCCGAAGTACTGAAAAACAACTTTTTGTAACATTGTTCACGTACTTATAAAATTTCACCATCTAATGATATAGTCGAATACTTTTTTATTTCATGCCTTAATCTTTTAAGAGAGAATATAATTACTTTTGCTTTTTGTGGATTTAATCTAAAATGATGAATTCCTGCATACTTGCCGATAGATCTCAAATCTTCATTAATTTGAGCCTCAGCATTTGTTATATTCTTAGTATTAAAATTATTGTATAACTGCGAGTCATCCTCAAAAAGCTCAATAAAAATAAGCGGTCCAAGAACCGATCCTTGCCGATGAAATTAAAGTTTCAGGATGAGTTTTCATATCGATGACGTCTCTATGAGAGTTATTTCTTGTCAAGAAACCAATGTTTGGTTGATGGTCCAGATTGAAAAGAAAAGAAAAGACGTCAACTTCCCTACTGAAATGAACATTGTCTTTTCGAGAGTCGTTTTGTGTGATTTAAAAGCTTAGATAGATAGAGTATTAGACAGTGTATGCGAGGCTCATCCCTCTATGAAGAAGAAGAAGGTCAGCTGTTCGATGGTTGGACCCTGAGGCACACCCTACATCATCGACACACATCATCCTAACATATATATTATATTACTTGTCCCAAAGGCCATGTTCTCGCAAACGTGACACTAGCAGACTAGCACCCAAGCGCCAAGCGCCAGTCCCATGTCCATACGAGAAACATAGACCGGCTAATAACATAAGTAAGCTACATAAATTTTGTTTAAGCGTGTAACGATTAAAAGCTGAGCTTGATCGGTAAGCAGCAAGCATTGTCAGTAGCGCGAGTGTTGTGCTGGCCAGTATTAGCCGGTCAGTTTAGGACACTTAGGACGATTCTCTATGTGTACCAGGCGATGAGGCTCCCTTGCCAGAGAAGGAAGGCATCAAACCAACCTTCACCGAACAACCCATCATCCGGCAATCAGAAGACGGACTCAAGATCACCTTCGAGTGTCGCTGCGTCGGAGATCCAAAACCAGAAATACAATGGTAAGTATACCTCATATACTTCCACTCCAGGCCTGTATTTTATAGTCGCCACTTCAATGATGTTATATACAGTGCCACGCAAAATTAACCGGACAAACAAAATTTTGTTCAAATTAAATTTTAAATAACTTTTTAACCTTTACATCAATTTCGTTAATTTTTTCAAGACTGCCGATCTTGCAAAAAATTGAAAATGTTTGTTTTTATACAGGGTGTAACTAAAAGGTGCATTTTGCCCTAAATTTCTGAGCACCCTATGGAAACATTGGATTCCTAAATAATGTGTCTTCGTATGAGAATTTTAAGCTTCAACTTTTCTTAACAGTTTTTTTTATTCATGTCAATATCTCAATTATTGAATAATATATGCTGTTTTGAATAAAATCATGCGAATCATAGCCATAAACAAGACATTGTTTCAAGCAGGCTTTGCCGGGTAAGAAATTGTTTCAAGTAGGCTGTGTCTGTTAGCACTTTTATTACATGTTAAAAAAATACTTGTCAAGCAATACTCAACGAAAATGATACCGGAACAAGTAGCGCAAGCTGTGGTTGTATTCGTCCTATTCGGTATATCGCAGAAAGGCCTGCCGTTCCACGCAGAACGGTGTTCGATGCGATACAAAGATTTAGAGAAACTGGTTCTTACTGAAGAAGACCTGGGCAAGGAAGACGGAAAGCAACAAACGCAGTTTGAGATCGGTTTCTCATACTAGAAGCTCTTCGAGAAAGGACAGTTCCTGCTACAGCTTTGACGCGAAGATTGGATGATGTTCATGGTACCATAGTTTCATAGTTTCCATAGGGTGCTCAGATATTTAGGGCAAAATGCCACCTTTTAGTTACACCCTGTATAACTATAAACATTTTCAATTTTTTTGCAAGATCGGTAGTAGATATGAAGACAATGAAATTACCTACAACTTGACGAAAACATCAACGAAATTGATGCAAATGTTAAGAAGTTATTTCAAATTTAATTTGAACAAAATTTTGTTTGTCCGGTTAATTTTGCCTGGCAGTGTATGAACATTGAAAAATAAAAATATATTGCTTTGTATACGTTCAAAATATGTACTTCTGAGGAAAGGTCTTGAAATACAAGGTCAAAATCGGCTTCACTGATATGACTTCCTCGGTGTTTTAAATAAATTTCTTTTGCGCCTGACCCAAGCATGTTGCCACACTGTCCTTTCATAGCATCTCGCGTAAGTACGTCATAGGGGATGCAATAGGGGAACTGCGTATCTTCTTAAGGCACCTCTCTCATTTTAGTGTACCACTTTTACGTATGCCTAGAAACAGAGCAGCAAGTCCATGTGATGCACTACTACATAGATGGCGCTTTACGCTGTCTTACTTTGTTAGTACCGACTAGGTGCATGCTTCAATTATTTTCGATTTCACTTCTTTAGAAACATTCGAGCTAAATGATAGCCTTAAGAATTCTTTCTTTATTGAGACCGCCTGTACTTGTTTTACTAAGATTAAGCCCAAACTTGATCTGTTTAGGGTACGTTCGTGCCTGTCCAAATACAGAAACACTTAAGCCTCAAGTGTTTATTAAATATTGAAGCTCTAAGTATCCTTTAAGTATTAAATAACAGTTAGTCGTTAAGTGTCACTTCTTATGTGTGAAGTGCCACTCAAGTGCCTGGTATACCACACAAGTGTCTCTTGGGACCGAATAACGTATACTTATGGTGTGCTTGTGCAAACATAAGCCACTGAGTCGAGTACTGGCAATTGAATTTATTGGTTTTGGTACTCGGCATTGGAATAGCACTTTAAAAAGTAGGATCGAATTTTTCCATCTACATCAAAACCATTTCCTCGTTCTAAAATGACCGAATTTATCAACGGACTCAGTCCTTAAGTATCACTCAACTTTAGTAGCAACTATAAATACGGGTCTTGGGTTCGGCTTCATTAGCACCAATTGAAGGTAGCCTTAAGTTACCACCCTGGGAGAATAAGTTAAATATCAGAAAGTCACCAGAAATTTTCAAAACATCTGATCTCACATTTTTGCCAATATAGATGTATTTTAAACGTGAAGAAAGCTTAAATTCGACCCCATCTTAAAAATATATTAAATCTTCTTATAAAGCTTGTAATAATTGAAATTAAAGATACCGATTTCCCCTATCGAATCGCCGACTCGCTAACCCGATTTGTTAAAATTTGAGATTTCGATTTTGAAACTTTTCACAAGAAATGTAATATTGCAGGTTCCATGGGAAAGAAGAAATCAAGACAAACAGTCGGTACACGATGTCGATAGACGTTGACGAGGTGCTTTACTACTTGGCACGGTTGGAAATAAATAATGTGAAGAATAATGATCGTGGCGAATACAGAGCAGTGGCGAAGAATATGTATGGAACGGCGACAGCTTACATCAATCTTGATTTCGAAAATACCGAGAAACCTAAGTAAGTATCGAATACCAACGAAAATATTCTATAAAATTATAGCGATTTGGTCCGTAACGCATCGTACCATTGGCAATCCGAATAAGATTTATTAAAGGGTAATTATTCCGATGCGTTGGTTCATTTTTATTGTCAGCTGTGCAGCTATGGACAAAAATTACTGGCACGCCCTTGTCTCCATTCTAAGAGAGCCGTCTGACTTCTATAGATAGTATCACCACCTCCTTTAATAGTTTCGATAGAAGATCGAAGTCTGAAAAAATTCTCTATTTTTCCAAACTGAATAATGAATTATCACCACAGAATCCAAATTTGATGAATATTGCATAGTTGCATGACTTTATAGAGAGTAATTTAAATGTCATTTCGGATTATAATTCTTGCCGAGGTCTAAAATAAGTGACATTCCGTGTTTAATTGTCGTAAATCAAAAAGCAGTAACATGTGATTTACTGCTTTTATACTCTACTAAAAATAATTTTACTGCCTTTTGTCGTGGTTTTCATAACGCATTTATATTTTTCAAAGCGAAAGCGCAGTAATACAGAATTTCATTTTATGATAATTTACTTATACCGAAATTTATATCAATAGCACAAAAGTAAACCTTTTCAATATCTAATAATTAAATTTAAGGATTATATAATTACATTTTTGTTAACTACAGCCAACAGAAATAGTTATATGAATAAACTAAAAAAAAGCTAGTATTCTTATATGTCAAGTTAAACGAACAATATTTTTCAAAATTATTCTTTCAAAGCAAAAGTAATTATTTAAATATATACTAAGTGACATATAAATCCGAACACCAAGTTTAAATGGTTTTATTTTAATAAAATTTTGTATAAGTACTTAATGAAGCATAATAAGTAAATGATAAAAATTTCAAAATGATTGCACTACTTTAAAGCCCTTTGACCTTTAATAATGTGTTGATGCACCCTGATGTGCTACGCATTCTCCAACGCGCCTAGGCATGCTTCTGATCAGGTGGTCAATGTCCTCCTGTGGTATCTCATTCCAGGCAACCACCAAGTCCTCTCAAAGTGCTTCTAGAGTCTGAGGAGGACGTTGCAAATTGAGCAATCTCCTACCCATCATATCCCACACGTGCTCAATTGGGGATAAGTCGGGAGATCTTGGTGGCCATGGTAACAATGTGACATCATTATGTTGAAAGAAATCTATTGTGACTCTTGCAACATGTGGTCGGGCATTATCTTGTTGGAAAGTTGGATCTGCCAGGGTGTCAAGATAGGGTAAAAGATGGGGTTCTAGAACTTCGTGGATATAACGCTGCGCGTTCATGTTACCTCTGATGAAGATTAAAGGTGACCTGGAACCATAAGCTATAGCACCCCAAACCATAACTCCAACAGTGTGATGAACATGTCTTTCAACAAAGAACTGTGGATTCCTCCTTTCACCACGTCGCCTTCTAGCCCTGGCACGACCATCGTGCATGCCTAAACAAAATCGAGACTCGTCACTAAAGACAATACTGTTCCATTCCTGATCCCAGAGTGACCGTTGTCTGCACCACTCAAGGCGATTACGACGGTGTTCTCGAGTTAAAGGGAGGACCCAGTGTAGCCGGTATGAAAACAAGCCAAAACTTCTCATTCGTCGGTAAACACTTCGCATGCCAATAGGTCTTCCGTGTTCTGCAAACGATTCATTTGCAATGGACCTGGTAGTGGAGAAACGGTCCCTTAAGGCCAATAATCTTAGGCGGCGATCTTCACGGTCTGTTGTTCTACGGCGGCGTCCAGTGCCCCTTGCTCTTTGCGTACGGCCTTCTCGAAGCCATGCCTGACAACACCTAACCACAGTGTCTACTCTTCTTTGCACTCTAACTGCAATTGCCCGAAAAGAAAGTCCAGCTTGCCGAAGTCCCACTATACTGGCCCCTATCAAACTCGCTAAGTTGACGAAATCGTACAGGTCTCCGTACTCTAGGCATCGTAACCGATCGTAAAGGATGTCAAGAACCAAAATCCGCCAACGTTGATTCTTTACTGCGGCTGAAATATTCATTTTTAGAGCGTTAGTGAATTAAAAAAAGCAGTATAAAAACCGGAATGTCCAACTGATAAGGCTGAAAATTTTTTCACTGGTTATTTACACTAAGATAAATACATTCACCAACTTTTATTAAAATAAAACCATTTAAACTGGGTGTTCGGATTTATATGTCACTTAGTATACTTATCCGCAAGTAATGGAATTATTAGACAAAACCTATAATAAGTGAACATCACAACAGGTTGTAAAAGATAAAAAATAGTACTTATATCACACACAGAGAATAAAAGCAGTACAGTTTAAAAGGTACTGCTGTTTTGCTTTGATGAATTGATTTACTGCTTTTATGCTTAGGAAATGTAATAAATATGGAATATTTGATAAAGTGAAAGAAATTAAAAAACGCAGTAAACTTCTTTTACCTAGATATGGCAGTACTTCCCTTGAGCTGGGAAGAACGTGTGAAGGATCCAGTGCAGCTTAAGCACGGTAACCTTAGTGGACTACCTTTAATTGGAGGTTAATTTTCATAAATAAATTTTAACGAAATGATTTATCCTCGAATATATTCTCTAGCAGATAAGGAACTACGATTAGTGATTCTAGCATTCTTACTTTAAAGTTGCCGTTATATAATTTTTATTCACTTCATTTATCATTAAATGGAAGGATGTAAGATAACGCATGGCACGCCACTGTTAGCGTATGATGACATCCGTACATTCGTTAGCAGTGGCGTACAATACTTCTTTCCGTTAAGAGTATATCGTATTTCAGAATTCCTGAAGGGCGAGCCCCGAGGTTTCCGAAGAAGCCTACGATCCGACAAGAAGGCGACGTCCTGATAATGGAGTGCCTCCTGGAAGCTTATCCGGATCCGGATATCAGCTGGTTCCAGAGCGAAAAATCGATCGCGGACAGTCCCCGCGAACGCATGTTGCGCAAAAATATATCGAAAGAGCTTTACCTGCTCACTTTAGAGATACAGAACCCCACTAAGCAAGATGGCGGCCTCTACAGGTGTAACGCGTTAAACGAATATGGCGAATGCAATGCGAATATTTTGTTGAATTTCCAAGGTATGCCCCTAAGAGGCAGGTGTACACTGTCGGATGCGCGCCAGGGTGATATTCCGGAAAACTGCTACACAACATCTATCAAAGAAAATTTCAGATTTCGAAAGCATTGTCATAGACTTACATTATTGCTAGAATCCTTATTTCAAAACGATCCTACTGATATAATGTATTCAATTCATGTTTACCTGAAGACGGAAAATATCAGATGAAACGATACAAAGCACACGTTGTAGAAATAACAGAAATCCGAAGCAGCATTTTTGAAACACACCATAAAGATGATAAACATACAGATAACAAACATCCATATCACTGACGAGGTAACGTACATGAGACAGAAGCGCAAGAAGTTAGAAAGAGTGCGCCATGGCCTCGGTACTCGGTTTGCTAGGTAACCTGGTGCTTCTATCTCTCTCTAACATATGTATTGTACGATTCTCTCTCGTACACATTATGACGTCAGTGGTATATGAATTGCTCAGTATACGCTAGTGCCAACCATTTCGCGTCTAGCATTAGACACGTATAAAAGGCAACATTGCACTGCCGGCAAGACAGACAACATATTTACTGCCTTTCTGGCAGTACATCGTTGTCATTTAGTAACCCTCCGAAATTTCGTAGATTTGACATTTTTTAAAGATTAAATAAAAAAATATGTATATAGTATCTAGAGCTAGGAGTACACCATTATTGATTCTGGACATAAGGGCGCCGCCGACGTCTCAAAGCGCAATCTAGAGAAACAGCTTTCTAGCACCTTCTGAAGTATTTGGGGACGAACGTTGGCTTCTAAAGCGTCCACTTATTTAGTTTATCAGCATCAACTTTTTTGAGACAGCCCCGGTGCCTGTATGGCCAAAATAAATAATGATATAGCTTTTATAATTTTATGTTCTATCCTATACCTCTATCCTTTGCGTTGAGTATCAATTTTGTGAATACACCCTAGGCTTTGTCCCGACATTGTACGAAATCCCCGACGTATGTGTAGTCTACATCCATGTATCTGTATTTGTGTCTGTGAAACGTCCAATTCCGTAATACTTATACCTTTATTGTTGTTCCAGTGCCGTCTTGCCAACCGACGTTGTTGTCATCTGCGACCTGTGTCAGTTTGTTACTTTGCATGAGCATGGCCTTTGAAACTTTTGTTTTGTTAGAACCTTTTCATCTTTGCCACTAATGATGCCTTAACGTTATCTGCTATTTTAGGTGGGGATGATGCGGAAGGGTTTGCACCTTCCTTTATCGAAAAACCAAAAATCATACCGAACGAGAGCGGTACTCTAATCACGATGAAATGCAAATGCAAAGCCAAACCGAAACCTGACGTGTCGTGGTTCAGAGGCACCACACTCGTCAAAGAATCTTCAAAGATTAAACTACGAGTTGTCGATATCGAAGAAGATAAGTACGAATTGTCGCTAGAGATTAAGGTAAGCATTCTTTGACTGAATAATCTATATTACCTCCATTGTAGTTACAACACACCATATACACTGGACGTGTATTTTATTTTATCGGCGTCAATGTCCTCTTCAGTAACTGAGCCGTCCGTGTACCAGACTTTCTTCAGAGACCTTTCGACTAAGAGAATCCCACTCCATCCGCGTCGGATACTGCACATTGAACTTGTGATTAAAGAGAGGTCTGTCAAGCTTCAAGCTCAACATCGGCCAAAAGGGGCGAAAAGTGCTCAGTTGCGAGGCCCCACCTTCCACACTCACTCACCGCGATTTAGTCATTGTTAAAGCCTCAAAGTATTGACTTCTTTCAGGATCCAGCGGCCCCCGATGGTGGCACTTACAGGTGTCACGTGAAGAACGAATACGGAGAGAGCAACGCTAACCTGAACCTGAACATCGAAGCTGAACCAGAACCTGAAGGAGACGGGCCAACGTTCGTTGAAAAACCCAGGATCACATCCCATGACAGCGGCAAACTGGTCGTCATGGAGTGCAAAGTGCGAGCAAATCCCAAACCAGACATCGTCTGGTACAGGGAAGGCCAAAAGGTGGTCGAATCCACAAAAATCAAAATAAGCTTCACCAAAGTAGAAGAGGATGTCTACTACATCAAACTAGAACTGAGAGACCCAGGAACTGAGGACTCTGGGTTGTACAAATGTAACATTAGTAACACGTTAGGTGAACTAAATGCCAATCTCACGTTGAACATTGAGATTATCCCTGTTATCAAGGAGAAACCTAAGGTTATCAAGATTATTAAGAAGAAGACCATTGTAGTTGAATGCAAAGTACTCAGCAAGTTTGCTCCTGATTGTACTTGGTTCAAAGAAGCAGATGCTGTCAAGGAAGACTCCAGACACTCTGTTCACGTTGAACAAGTCAAAGATGTAAGTTTAACACGCTAATAGCTTAACAACTTCTAACTGAAAATAGTTTCTCATTTAGACTCAACAGTAGCCCTCTCCATCATGAACTTCGGAACCATGACAGCTATGTTAAAAGTATCATCCCTTAGAGTTTTGAAAACATGTGGGATGATACGTTTAGTTGGCTATTCGTTAGAGAATTTCTCAGCTTTCCCAGAAACAGTTACTCTTTCCTACTGGAATGCGACTGGATAATATCAGCTGAGGAAGCCTCCCATTTGTTACACATTCGTGTGCAGGGAATGAGACTGTTGCGATTGCTTTACGACTGTCCAGCTAGCCTGTCAATATGACAATGTTCATGAGAGTGTTGGCCTTTTATGGCTAGTTTAAGGAAAAGTCATCTTGGTCGTATCACCATCTTCTGCAATAGTTAGACGTGGTTCATTATCCAGCCCTAATTGCTGATTATCATTTCTGGGATTATTGAATTATATTTTTATTCCAGGGCGAATTTGCTGTGAAACTCGAAATCAATGACGTAGAGAAAACAGACAAAGGCATGTACAAACTGGTGGCCAAGAACGAGAAAGGAGAAGCAGCTTCGCAGACGGTTGAAGTCACTGAACTTCCGCCAGAAGAGAAACCAAAAGGAGAAAAACCGAAACTGACGAAACTTACCAATATCGTAAGTAACGTTATCAGTTTATTACATCACAATATATTGCCATATAGAATTTCTTTTCGAACGTTTAAAAATCTTGTTTATCAATTTTTCAGACCACGGAAGAAGGCAAGTCTGTGGATTTGATCTCTTCCCTCAAAGTTGAAGACAAGACAGTGAAAATAACCTGGTACAGAAACGAAACCATAATAAGAGAATCTAGTGAAGTGCAGATATTCTTCGACGGCACAGTAACTAGGCTCAGCATTAGTAAAGTTAAGAAGATACACTCTGGCAGCTACAAGGTTGTTGCCAAAAACGAGTTTGGCGAGGATGAAGTTTCTGCTAGCTTGACTGTGCAAGAGAAAAAAGAAGAGGAGGAAACTGAGGAGGAGGAGGAAGAAGAAGAAGTACAGGTTATTGAAGAAAAGAAAGAAGATAAAAAGGAAGAGAAGAAGATAGAAAAGAAGGAAGAGAAAAAGGAGGAAAAGAAGGAAGAAAAGAAAGTGGAAAAGAAAGTGCAAAAAAAGATAGAGAAAAAAGAGGAGAAGACAGAAGAGAAGGTCACAATCAAGGTAACATGTTTGTGTATAATATTCAATTCTTATAGAACGGACATCTCAAAAACTATTAGTATAATTAGTACCAAAAGGATGTAACGAAAAAAGTCAAGGGGTAATCAAGCAGCATCAAATCTTTGGTAGATTATTTCTTGAAAAGGACACAGATGAGATCATTTTTCGGTTTTTGAGATGGCGATCAGGTTGAATATTGAGTTAGATAAATATATGTTCTGATGATTATTTAACACTGTAATTGTTACCTGCAGAAGGATGAAGATAAGAAAGTCAACGATATTGACAAGAAGGTGACCAAAAAGGAAGAGGTAAGTTATAAAGAGGTCCATTGCAGGAGTGGATCAAGTTAGTTCCCCATAACTGCCCAAATAGTGTCAGAAACCAGTAGCATAAGAAGTAAATTCAACGCCTGTCAAATTAACTTGGTTAGCTACTGCATACCTTCCAAAAAGAATGTATTGTCGATTGTCCTGTTTATATGTACGTGATTGTCTCTGTCCCTAGGAAACGAAGACTACAGACAAAAAGGCCACTAGGAGGACTTCCGTTCAAAAGGTATGTAGATCATGACGTGATACTATATTATAAGAACTTATACTTTGGTATCAAAAACTGACAAACAAATATATGTATGTCAAGGCCAGAATTATGGCTGCATGCATATGTGAAATATGTATAGTATTATCAATAGTAATCTTGACACACGATTCTATAGCATTCAAAACTGACGCAAAATATATTCAGACAGATTTAATAGAATAATCTTTAATACATGATCTTTACTCAGACGGAAGAAAAGTCAGAATCGCGCAGGAGTTCCATAATACAAACCGAAGAAAAAGTCATGCAAGACGGAAAGGTGTCTAGAAAGTCATCTATACAAATCAATGAAGAGAAGTCTGACTCCCGACGATCTTCAGTGGCTGACGATAAGAGAAAGGTTCGAAACGTCTTAAGCTTCAAGAACCCCTTGCTTCATGCTAAATAGATTCCTTGAGCATATCAGCATGATTCTCCTGGGCAATCTACTTTGAATAGGATTGAACCCAATATATCAGCAATAGCTACTGAATATTGTAAACAAATGACAGCACGTCATCTAATTCGAGAGTTTTAATGCTTCTGATCTTAGCAGCAGGGGCATGCTGTCTTTCAGCTATTGAAAAAATATGCTTAATATGCCTTATAAACTATGAATAAAAGGACGGGCACATATTTTACGGAAATTAATCCCCGATGAATCGTGCTCAAACTCTGGAAATAAGCTCTTAAGTACATCCTGATCAAAAGCTCTCGAAGGCTCTCAACAATCCTATCAAGGGTTTCCATAATATACAGGGTGTCCCAAGCAGGCGAGAACGAGGTATTGTTCCTAAATGAAAGCTTATCAAGTACAATCATTGATGGGTCACTAAACATGGTATCCGAGGGCAGATTTCTAAGATACTCAAAATTATACAGGGCGTGCCAATTTTGCCTGAAATCGAAAATATTTGCTTAAAATAGAAGACCCTGCTTTTTATAACACACTAGGATAGGCCCTTTTACAAGAAGAAGATTGATATAACCTGATATAACCTACTTATTGGTTTTCTGTATTGGTTATTGGGCTATTTGGTATTTTATCTAAAAAAAGAAATACCAAAGTTTGACAACCTGCATATCAGGTGTCTTGCCAGTTTGCATTAGTGTGGGCATTATAGTGATGAAAGGAAAACATAGGTAGTTAGAACTTTGACCATACCTTCAAGGCCATGTCAAGGTCGAGTCACTTCTTTGCGATTTCACACTCCATTTTTGATTACGGAAATAAATAGAGCTGGATATTCCATATTGATCTACAATAGTCGAGTAGCCCATGACGATTGCTAATAATAAATCTTGACCATGATCGCTAGGGTTAATTTTTTGCTGACCCTGGAAATGATAAAAGTGAGACAATCAAGTCCACGAACTTCATAATAACAGTTCACTTGACCATGATGTGACCCTGAAGGTTTATTATTGACAAAGGTCATAGCTCAATGTGGATACTCGTATTTAAATATGGAATGTCCCACTATTTTATTTCAGTAATCAAAAATGGAGTATCTCATCGAAAAGAAGTTGAAGGTTATGGTCGTGATCAAATACGCGAAATTAACTACCTACGTTTTCCTTTCATCAATATACCTACATATATACCTACACTAATGCAAACTGACAAGACAGCTGATATGCAGGTTCTCAAACTTTGGTAGTTTTTTTAGATAAAATACCCAAGAGCTCAATAATTAATAATCAAAACACATAAGTAGGTAGTAGTATCATCAATCTTCTGCCTTCGAAGGAGCCTATCGGAATGTGTAATAAAAAGTAGGGCCTTCCATTTGAAACAGATATTTTTAATGTGGGACAAAATTGGGACATCCTCTATAATTGTGAGTATTTTGGAAATGTGCGATAGGATACCGTGTTTAATAACCCATATATAGTTTTCTTTGACAAGCTTGCATTTAGGAGCAACGCTTCGTTCACGCATGCTTGGAACACCCTGTATATTATGGAAACAATTCATGTGATTGTTAAGAGCCCATCAGAACGTTCGATCAGGATGCTCTGGAGAGCTTATTCCCAAAGTTTGAGCAAGATTCGCCGGTGACTGATTTCCTTAAGGTTCGTGCCCCCTCCTTTACCAACTCATGTATCCAACAGTTGCTGGCTTTTCTGCATTTGTATTACCCTAGAGGCTAACCGCTACTGCTTTTCCTAACAAGCTATGAAATGACGTTCCTAAACAATACTGTATTTCACAGGTGATAAAAGATACAACCAAGAGACTAGATACCACACAAGAAGGGGTGAGTTTTAATTCTGTCATAATATTGCACAAAGCATTGGATTTGGAAGTATTTTTTTAAAACGAATAGAAAGAGAGTAGAGGAAATAGTGCGATTCCGAGAATTTCTAGATTGCCTTAACTACGCTACGTGATCTGACCTAATATTGCTTTGCATCAAGTTCGGAATATTTATTCCGTTATTCCTAAAATTTTTTGACAATACGTACTTCCAAATTTTCAAATGCACTACACCGCAGATCCGTCTGACGTACCTCACTCCAAATGATATTTACTATACAGAAAGCCACAAACCACATAGACGAACCAAAAACACGTGCTGAGACCAAATCGACCAAAACCGAGGTTAAGTCGACAGTCGAGTCCAGAAAAGAATCAATTTCGACAACAAAACCGGAACCCGCTAAGCCCAAAGAACCTGAACCTGCTAAACCAAAACCCAAAGAACCAGAACCTGAAAAGCCTAAGCCTAAAGAACCCGAACTTGCTAAAGCAAAGCCGAAAGAGCCGGAACCCGAAAGGCCTAAGCCCAAAGAACCGGCGAAACCTAAGACACCGGAACCCACTAAAACACCAGAACCTAGTAAACTTGCGCCTAAAGAAGAGAACGCCATCTCAAGTCTGGAGGCTAAACGTTCCTCTTTGAAAAAGGTAACATGCATTCACATTTATAAAAACATACATGCTTTATTTCTATTATAATCGATCATTCATATGCTTCGGTTTAAGTGTCAGTAAAGTGCTGTCATCTGCGAAATTATTAATCGGATTTACCGTACACACTGGAGCTGAAAATCTTCCTTTTGAAGTATCCGCTTTGATAAAAGAAAATCCTCAGCCTCTCTGGTAGGCGATAGGATGAAAGGCTCTGAAATATCAAATGACTGTGAGGTGTGACGGAAAAGAGGAGGTCCCCAGTTGATTTTTGGTGTCGGAAACCATGCTGACTCTCACTAATCACGCAGTGCTGATCTAGCTGCAAGTAATAGAGATGAATCAATCAAAAATAACCCGCCTTTAGCTTCTGTGATGTGGCTCGAATAACCAGTGCAGAGTCCACAATTCAGCCACATCGTTTTTCTTAGAGCATCTGTTGTATTGAGACCTCAAGGTTTCTTCAGCATTCTCTACGACTTCTTAACCTCAAGACTATAGCAAATATATTTCACCAGACCAGACGTACTTTGCTCATTGGCAATATACCTGCTTTGTCTGGATGGGTATATAATATGAATGACTCATTTAATGAATATGAGTAAAAAGTAACATGTGTTCTAATTGTACTATGTAGTACAATGCATGTGTATCATCATCCATTTTTAACGCATCTTGCAACACGTTTGAGTTTAGAGGCCAAACGCCTCTCACTGAGAAAGGTAACAAACAGTTCTTATTATAAACTGTCCAGAACCAAAATACGAATCCGATCCGAAATATCTTTGAGAAAAATCATCTGGAAATATGCCTAAGATAATATATGAATTATAGCCAAAAGTCATATTTAACTTTCAGCAGTTGGCAATGTACATAGAATAAACATTTAGCATTCATACGTATGAAAAATTATCTATAGATAAACAACACTCTCAAACGAATCTTTCTTCTTTTTTCTTCCATGGCGACATCTATGTTCAAATCATTAGACAGAGGAAAAGCCTGCCCAGGATATCAAACTGAAGGTAAGTTCACCATATTTAGAGAACATAAGGTACGAGTATATGATATGCATAATACTTTCAACTACTGAAAAATTTACGTTCAGCTTATATTACTACATTCAGTGGAAATACTGGTATTATGTACGGAATTATCTAAAACATATTTTCCCGTGAAAGCGCAATTTAGAATAGAAATATGTGTTTTTGAGTATACGCTAATATGTCTTCAAAGGCATCTAGACCGTGATAGATGTTGATCTGATATTTGTGTATGCTGTAGTACCCCATCCCATAGATGTGTTTTAACCTTTTTGTACAGATCGGGTTAATTTATTTTCATTGAATGTGTTAACGATCTACAAAATGAAATATACAATATTCATAGCAATCAGTAGACTTTGAAAAACCTACTAAAGGCTATCAAAAAACAATAAAGCCAAATGAAGGCCTTCTTATTGTGGAGACGCTTTATATGAGTCGTCAAAAATATTTCACAAGAAGGCGGCCTTGTTCGACTTTAGACCTCCTTATCGTTTTGCATAGTCGTTGATTTAAAAGATTTCTTATTCCATTACTTTCCTCGAGGAGTGCAGGAGCTTATCTATTTTGATTCCTATGTGTATAAAAACACATCTCGCATCAAGTGTAAGATTAACAATCAGTAACGGAGGTGATAAGGAGGCCTCAGATTCAAAAATACTTTCGAAATTCTGCAATTCTTCAATGATAATTTAGATAATGCCTCCTCACAATAAGCAGCGGCAGCTCATTCGATTCTTAGATCATTATTCCATTAATTTCCTCCAGTGGAGATATAACATTTTCTCTCACCCTTATTATTTTGAACATTTAAAATGACAACCATAAATATTTAGCCCCAAGAAGATAAAACCAAACAACGACGTGTTATACCGCCAGCAGTTAAAGCAGATACTTTTATTGGTATCCAACTGAAACCTGTTCAAAAAGAAAAAAAAGAAGCATCAAAAGCCCAATTAGAGGTTGATCTCAAGGTAACAGAGCAGGTTCTTCTTCTTCTTCTTCTTTTCTATTTCTTCTTTTCAGTATCTGGTAAGAAGATGTATCTTCTTGCCAGCTACTACTTCTGCGATTCTTCAAACTCTTTTCAAGTACATAATATATGTTTCTTTCTTCTAAAGTGAATAATTATATGTTTGATTTCGCCTCTTTCTTTTGCTTTAGGCACTTTTCCTTCTCCATCTTATTCTCATAATCTGTATATAATCTTACTCATCGTCTCTTTGAAATTGACAACAAGGTATATCTATAAACTACTATTATCATCCTTAGCGCAATACATTCATCATCATCATCATCATCATCATCATCATCATCATCATCATCATCATCGCCATCATCATCATCATCGTCATCATCAACAACAGCATCATCATCTGTTGCGATTTGAATCAATTCTGCTCGTTATACATGCTTTATTTCAGCTACTTTCTTAATTCGATTATTTTCCAAACTTTATCATGTTTCGAGATCGAAGAAGATATGAAAGCCAACAGTGAATTCTCATGCTTAATCACTGCTTAAATATTTATACGCATGTGCCTGGTTATAAAAGTGAGTTGATAAAGCAAAAAATCCTTGGATGCTTTTCAACTGGCATGAAAAATTGAAAAAGATCATAATCATATTGTTAAAAATATTCTACAGACGGTGCTTTCCAATCTAATTAAAAGTAATGGATTGGTTTCCTAGAAGTGAATATTACGTTTGACAAGGCACTCAGTTGATCTACTTTGTATAGATAGGCCATCAATTTTCATCTTCATCGCAAATATATTTTCTATCTTGCACTAAATCCGCCTTCTTCTCTGTCGCTACCTGTTTCTCTATCTTCTCCTGTCTATTCCTAATTGTGTGATACTTCTTTAATAACATATACGGATTTAAATTTTATTATTGTCTTACTCTATGTACATATCTGTATGAAGAAGCTTCCGTTTTGTATACTGCACAATATTGCCAATATGAATTCTATGAACATTTTTTGAGTAAACGTATTCACGATCAAGATCATCACAGCACTTGGGCTCCTTGCATGCATTTTGCAAGGTTACACACGGCTGAAGCATTGGCCATCCCACATAGACGGTAATTAACAGCTAGAGAAGCTCAGAAAGTCTATAGATAATATGTAGCCAGAAGCATCATGCTTTTAAAAACTGTTGGGGTGCTTTTCAAAATAGTTGTGATTTGAAATACAAAATGCTTTAGGGCAAATGCCATAGATCAAACGGAGCGTCATGTTAAGCATGTTTATTAACCGACGAATATTAAACTCAAAAAATGTTCAACGCATCCACGTGTAAAAGTATGATCGTACTTTAATGCTTAAGTTTCTTAAAGTCATCATTTGCTTTCTTTCGGTCATGTTTATACTTCAGATCTTCACAAAAGCTGTAAACGCCAGCATAGAATTTACAATGTTTCTCTAAAAGAATGTTATTGAATCATCGATCAAAAAATACTTGATCCTACACTGCAACTATAGGTTTCAAAGTACGATCAACCTCTCCATTGTGTATATTGCACAACATAAAGAGTACCAGAAGCATAGTTTCTTTGAAATTCGGAAAATGTTCACAGAAAACCGAAAAAGACGAAAAGCTTAAAGTGTCAAAGTCCACAAAGAAGGAGGATCAATCGTACCTGAACGAATGGGAGGCTATCCCGGACTACGAAAGACCAGTACTCGAAAAATTCGAGAAACATGCTCCGCCAGAGTACGCTGGCAGAGAAAAAACAAAATTGTCAAAGGTATATAAGAAAGCTCGCCACGCAATTTTTGCTAGCTCTGCTGCAATCAGAACTACTTCATGCTTGGGAGCTACAAAACGGTCTTCCAAGCTTTTAGTTCTGTCTTTAACATGGTAATTTTATTAAACATAAAAAAGATAAAATTGTCAAAGGTATTCAAAAAAATGTCGTGAGACAATTTTTGAAAGCCCAGTTGCAATCAGAGTTGCTTCAAACTTGGAAGCTCTAAAACGGAATTCCAAGCTTTCGCTTACTTACATATTCAGGGTAGCGAGTTTATAAAATATAAAAATACAAAATTGCAAAAAGGCAATAAAGGCATTTCAAAGAAAAAATATTCCATTAATATCTCACATACAGCTTCTTTTATTCCATTTCAACGTCAATGAATGAATATAATCGGAAAATTCTTTATGAAAATATTCTTTTGAAAAGTAATGTCAACCTGAACGGATCGGCCGAATCGGGTAGATAGAAAACTAAACTGACAATGCTAATTTTAGCCCGGTGGTGCTCATAATAACTCAGTTCACGCTAGCTTTACAATATTCAGTTTATTTATGATTTGGAAAGATAAACTATTCAAAATAATTAGTTGCTCCACTCTTGGCATACGTCTGGATCATCTGCGCTATTTTATAATTAATACACTGTATAAAATTTTTATCAGTCTGAATCTGGCAGTTGCCGGACTATCATTGATGGTAAATGCCTAGCCATGATTTTACGAAAGAATGCCAAGTAGTGTCAGGTTCTATTAAATACCAGTGATAGTTTAGCATTCCTTTGAATATGAAGTGATACTAAGACTTAGTGTGTGTGCGTGCTTTCACCAAATGACGAGTACTACCCCGTAACATGGTTAGGTATAAATTTTGTGTAGATTGCTTTGCACATTTGCTTTTTGCTGCACCTCCATCTCAGTAATAGTCATGGTTAGAGTTGGATATAGAACTTCTAGACCGTCTAACATGAACCACAAACATGCAGCACTGCTCATATAGTCTTAATTTTAATTTATTTTATATAAAGCAAAACTGCTCATATAGCCTTAATTTTAATTTATTTTATATAAAAGTTTCTTTTAAAGCTGGTACATAATTGAAAGGTAAGATCAGTCCCTCGAAGACTTAGACCCGTATCGTCAGTCGTCCCTACAATTGTAGGGCGCCTTTATGGCCTACTTGATTGTCATAGTTTTCTACTTCTCCGTGTCAGCGCTCTATTTTGAGGTTATGTCACAAACATCTATTGGCATCAAATTGCGCTTGCTTTTGAGTTATATCATGTTTTATCAGCCTGAAATTTCCTACAATTTAAAAAGAAAACATATCTTCAAAATAGGAGAGCGCTGACGCTGAGACGGGACAAGTGTAATCTAGAAACTTTTGAAGGAGAGACAGGAGTATCACAATCAAGGAGGCCATAAACGCGCCCTACAATTGTAGGAACGACTGACGATACGGGCCTTAGATGCCGTAGATGAAAAATGTCCAGCAAAATTACGATGCCTAACACGGCATGGGGTAACTGCCTGCTCGGATCGTTTGCGTTAAAATGTTGTTACTTAATAGTCACACATTTTTTCAGTCTCAGGTCAACTACGACCATAGTCTTAAGTTATAGTTATCTATGGAAAAGCATTTTTTTATATCATGTTTATAGTAAGACATCAACCAGAAAACCATCTATGAGTTAACTAAGGCTGTAGTTAGATACCTGACGTTTTTTGACACAGGCTTTGGCGTTTATGCAAAAATCAATATCATTTATCGATAAATATCAATTAAAGCTGAAACATGTGCATAGATCACGACTTGAATGCGTATAGCAGAGACGAAGAGGCAAGAAGACCAAAAATAATCCGCCATTGACCGAATTTGACACCCTGAATTTCATTGCAAGATTTCGTCTTACAAAAAAGCTGTAGAAACAGAATTTTTTCTCTTTCTAGGAAACTGTATCTCTTTTTGCCCTCGATTATGATTTTGCATTTACTGACAAACGATACTAACACCATTTTCTCATCTTTTGAAAAATTTTGAGCTCTTTTTTTATGTTCCCTTTCGTCATGTTAGAAAACAGTTTTTGATAAAATTTAGCAACATATATATACTCGTATATATATTGATAATGTATATGTATATATATAGAAAATTATCATGCGGAGAAAGGTATAACAAAAAAAAAGGAAATAATGGGCAAAATCCGCAAAAAGAAGGAAAGTGGATTCGAGCAAAAAAAAAATAGGATAAGTAACCCGAGCGATACGTATTTCTGCTGGTTGGCTTCATCAGGCCCGAAATGAATGCACATATCAAACTGCAAAGGTAGATACACATGTCCACACATCCGGATACGGGTGTAACCTGAGGAAACGAAGATGGAGGGGAAAAAACGACACTCGAAGTCCACAACAAGAGCCAACCTACACATTGTAGTATAAAATGGCTAGAAGACCTCGAATTTTCAAGGAGACATCTAACCACAACCACGCGGCCGGTTATAGACACTTGCTGTGGTAGTTCAAGCCCAAAGGATCTACAAAAAGAAAATGATCATGCGGATAAAGGTATATAACAAAAAGTAGGAAAATAATGAGCAAAATCCGCAAAAGGAGGAAAGTGGATTCGAGCATACAATAGGATAGGTAACCCGAGCGGTACGTATTTCTGCTCGTTGGCTTCATCAGGTCCGAAATGAATGCACATATGGAAAATAATGGCTGCGTCTTCTAGCCATTTTATACTACAATGTGTAGGTTGGCTCTTGTTGTGGACTTCGGGTGTGATCTTTTCCCCTCTCCATCTTTGTTTCCTCAGGTTACACCCGTATCTGGATGTATGGGCATGTGTATCTACTTTTGTAATTGCATATGTGCATTCATTTCGGGCCTGATGGAGCCAACCAGCAGAAATACGTATCGCTCGGGTTACCTATCCTATTTTTTGCTCGAATCCACTTTCCTTGTTATTGCGGATTTTGTCCATTATTTTCCTATTTTTTGTTATATATATATATATATATATATATATATATATTTATTTATTTCTACTTTTTAGTTTGGTTAGCTATATAAGCGTGTTTTTTTAAAGTATTATTTATTCACTTTGTTATTAACAAACTGTGTAGGTGACTCGACATTTCAATCTTTTAAAACTTAAATATTGATTCCAAACAAGTTCAGCAAATCTGGATTATTTGTCAGTGACACAGTTTTTATTCCCTCATGAAAAAAATCGAATGGCTGACATAAAAATACAATTTTTGAAAAGCCGAATAAAACCTATTCTTGTTTGATTTGGATAAAACGAACGGTTTTTGAGTAAACAGTTAACAAATTAACAATCAAAAATAAACTCAAACATTATTCGTTAACTAAAACTTTATGAAGCTTGTTGTGAAAAATAATCTGACACTGGCATAACTTCCCACATTTCCGCCTACTACATATTATTTTTAGAAACCAGCTTCAAAAACACCTATTGTTAAATTTTTCATGATGCAAGACTAAGCATTTTGCTAAAGAAACAAAATGTTTCAGATCTATAACGTTTTTGAACATGCCCTAACCTGAAGCAATCAGAAACGATGAAAGGAAATATTCGAAATTTTTAATAATTGTAGCTTCTACATGGAAATATTTGATTATCCTCAAAAATGTTCAGAAAGTTGTAAAGCATACAAAAACAAACTTTGGGACGATCTGAAAGCTATTTGAATTTTTACTCATAACACCGCGGCAACGATTTTCAGAATTAAGTAGCCTTACCTACTATACTACTACCCCCGCCTCAATCCCGAAAAACTTAGCTACACCTGGCTCTTCAAAAAGGGTTAAGTGTAAGAGAAAGTTATCTTTTGCCGATAATGATCCACCTCCTTCGACTAAGAATGCCTACGGCTGCCCATGGTCAATATGTGACAATTCATATTCAATGCAAGCATTTGTTTTTTGAAAAAATCAATACTTCATATTTTACCCCCCATTTGAGCTTCGCCACTGTGGGTGCCCTCCCTACAAATCTTGATATGGGGCATGGGCCCCTGAGGAGCAAGCTACACGACTCTGATACTGATTGGCGCCAAGAAAATCTGAAATCAAAAAAACGTTCCTGGTTTCTTCTAAGCTTCTGTAATTATCTACAATCACAGTAGGTATTTCGTTATCAATAAACATTGGTTCGTGAGTTGAGATCGACTACTGATACATCCCCACATCGGTAGCCTTAAGCCGTATACGTATACATTTACAGAAAAGCATAACCCCGATAACCCACTGATATAAGATATGTCCTGTCTAAGGTAAAGAAAGGTAGAAACCAGAGATTATATACCGTTATAATCCTAATTTTGTTTTGATTAAATAATCGGGGGTGGTGCCGCCCCCTTCCAAAAATTTATAGATATTAGAGCAAGCTGGGCCAATTCAATATCACAGATGCCCAGATGCCCTCATCTATACGCCTGTGAACTCTGTAGTATAATAATTAGAAATAATAAATTGACTTAATATGATAGATGATGTCTAAAACCAAGCTCATGAAGTTATTAAATTATGTGGTACCTTAAGCCATAGTGCGTAAGTGGCGCCATCCTTTAAAGTATTGCGTCACTGTTTGGCTATTCCGCATTGAGATATGAAAAGGAAGCAACAGATGGAGTGACTAGTACTATAGACAAAGTAAGGCCTTCATAATTATGTTCATTCGGTCTGTAAAATCCGGTTTAATACGTTTTTGCAATACTATTGTAAATTCTAGGTACAAGAACGTGTCTCTGCCGCAACAGGGGTGAGCCTGTCTTCTATAAGGCGTGTAAAAAAAGAAGCGCGAAATATAAAAGAGCATGTGGCAATTTCATTCCCAAAACCAAAGAGAACAAACATCAAAACTAAGGTGGCTCTCGATGGTTTTGACCAAGGGTTGTTACGGAGAACGATCATCAACTACCATATAACAGAGAAGCGCATACCTACCTTGCGCTGTATACACAGAAAA